ATCAGTTTTCGAGATGCGCCATGCCACCCCTCTTCCATCAAATTTAAAAGGCGCATTGAATGCGTTGTGACCTATATAATCGATGGGGTGGAGGGGGTGGATCCTTCCAGATAGTTCTGGTATTAATTCGCAGTCCTGGGAGCGTAGAAGGCTTGTTTGTCCTGGACAAGAGCCGGACCGAGAGTTAGCTCTCCGAAAAAGCGCTTGCTTAGAAGGCTATTCAGGTTAGCTGCCTGTGGGTCCAGAAATCGTTTCAAGATCGCTGAGATAAGTTGAGCTCAGGCTGCTGTGCTAATCACTACCAGGGGCGCCCTTCATAACAACAGCTTCATCGCGCACAGGCGTGGGGAAATGTGAGGCCCAGCTTCGAATTCAGACTAAGGTCAACGGTTTCTCTAGGAACTGTATGTTTTGACAGCTTTCGCCTAGCGAATTGCGGGGGGGGGGGGTGACAAACACAAACAGCATTCATCAGACACAACATATCAAAAACTTACAAAGTCGTTTTTGGCCCCATTCCAAATTACCTCTGAAGAGATTGAGCAAATAGGAGATCAGTAAACCTATTTACACGACCTTTACCACTGCGTAAAGTAAACTTCTCAGAGGTTCAAAGCGAATTCTATCTTCTCCGCCAAAAGCTAACAGAAGTTCATGAACAGATAATTTTCTGGTGTGCAGCGGGATCAACGGGGAGAGGGAAGAACAACAACAGGCAAAGGGCTGGGTTGAGAGACACCCGGGCAAGAAAAACCTGTGAAATTAGTCTGGATAAATCGACATAAAGTAGGTGGGCTAACGACCCTTGGCGCACTTTGGCCTGGTGGGGGCATTTCGCTGCTTCTCACCGAACATTGTCGATGTTTCTGTGGAAACTTGTAAATCCCTGGAAAGCTAATTAAAACAAATTCGCTTACAATTGGTGAGAGCCTGCAAGTCTCACCAAGTTAGGACCTGTGAATCAACAGGAACTAGCAAAAGAAACTAGCGAAATTGGTTGATTTCCCTCCCAAACCGAACAGCGCCTGCTTTGACAAAGGGGAAAAGCGATTTTTCGTTGCGGTCAGTTCCAGCGATCTTTCTTTCAGCAAGCAAAACCATTAGTTGCAGAAAGATGGTACTTCTAGGGAAAAGCGGTCCAGTGATAGATCGTAAGGCAACTAAAAAGTTACTAGTCTGTGATTCCTACTAAACTGCAAACTGATAGACACTACGAACTGAAGTGAACACGCCGCTGTCTCGAGCTGGAAGTCCCCAAGGGATTGGCCGCACGGAAAGTTTATTCAAGACAGCGCAAAATAGCCCCATTATTGGTCACGCTGCTAACCCTTATGTTAGATCGAAACTCTCTTTCTGCCCTTCTTCATCAGCAGCTAGCTTGACGTTAGAATACAATTCTAACGGAAAACAAAGATACGAGTTGGAACCAGGTGAGGTTTCTAATAAACGGGAGGTCTGGAGCATCTGAGAACGGGACGGGATAAGTTTCAGGACAAAACTGGGCGCTGTTCGACATGGGAAGCAGTTTTGTACTTTCGCTGGTTCCTTTTACTAGTTTAACTTGTGAAGCTGCGAAATGGAATAAACGAGCCACACTGGTCACAAGAATTTCAACAATTTACAAGTATTCACAAGCTGACCTAAACAAGTTTTGCTAGTAGTATTTGGTGCCAAGCCGAACTGATTGCAAAATTCACAGGTCTTCACAAGGTAGTTTGCGGAGGCTTTGCCCAACACCATTTGGTGCCCCTTCCAAGCTGGACTGTGCCGAGAATCGCAATAGCCTGTTATGGAGATATTTTCGATTGAAACTAAATTACCACTGACACCATAAACATAGTTAATGACGTTGCAGTCAGCCTGGGCGGTGTCAGGAAGGAAATGAGCCCGTCTCCCTACCTTGCTCTACCAGTGGTGGACTGTCGACCGATTTAGGAAAAAAATTACTAGTCATGAAAACGCTGCTAGGGGGAAAACGCATTCCATCCATCTCAAACCCACTTCGAGTGATTGCGAAGCTATCAACTGTAGTCTAATACTGTCTCTCCCTCAAGACATGCCTGACGGAAGCCAGCGAACGCAACCAGGTGAACGAACCCACCAAAATGTACTTGAAGGCGCTGAGAAAAAATGGTAGAAAATGTAAATGTTATGAAATGGTAGAAAATGTAAAATTATGAGCAGCACTACTGAATGAAACAGTCAAGAAAAGCAAGTGACAGCAGCTCAACATCCGCAATCGGCACACCCTAGCAGGATTCCCAGTCAGGGCACGTGCAACCGTTAAAGGAAAACCCTTGCAAAATACGCCCACCCCCTTCCTTGAATCCCCGCCTCTCAAAGTTTTATCCCTTGCTACGACTTCCCTTTGCTATCATACCTTCCCTGCCGAAGCTTTGCTGTCGCATAGGAGAGGTTGAGGTGGGAGAGGGCTGGGGGAACGGCGTGAAGGTATGCAGATAGATTAGACGCTTTCAAACCAAGTACTTGGTTGGAAGCGTCCTCTGTCGCTCGCTAGGCACGCAGCGTATATAGCGCATTTTAACGCAGAAGACCAAGGAAGCGCAATAACCGCGTGAACACTGTTCACAAAAGCGAGTATGTCCTCTCCCCTCCGCCGACATGCGGACTGCGACACATCCCTTGCATCCATAACGTACGACCTGTTTGCGGTGCCCGGCTTTCCGTAAGCGACTGGGCTCACGCTGGTTGGTTCAAGGAGGATCTGACCAAGTGGAACGCAATACCAAGCAACTAGGCAATAATGTAAATCAGGGTTTTCTGGTCGACCTACTCGAGGCGCTGAACACAGGTGCTTGTTGTGGCACTCTTTCGAGCAGGACAACTGCAGAAAGTACCACACCAAGCATCGAGGGATCACATTACAAACCAGATATTTCTTAATGTTCGCTGCGGGGCAATCGTAGGGAGCATCGGGGCCAAAACTCTTTCTCCTGATGCGAGCCCTCCCACCATTCCTCGCGGTCATCTTGCCTACCATCTTAAATTTCCCCAACTTCCTACCCTTTCTTCGGTAATTTCTACGGAAACTCCCCATTTTTGCCCCAAAGCAGGGCACATCATTGGTTGGGAATTTTGGTCTAGTCCGTACGACACCCCCTCTTCTTTTTGGGGGGGTGGTAACGCTGGTACCCCCCCCCCCTCCAACCCTCTCGTCAAGCTGTCGAGCGGCGGGGGAGGGAGGTGGGTGGGGATGGGATATATAGTACCAGGAAACAGGATGAACACGAATAGTCATCAACCTCTCTGAAAAGGCCACACGTGAAATACGACCCCTCCCTTACAACAACGAGCAAGTACAACCCCCCCCCCCTTTTAACGACGTCCGTCTGTGAAACGAGAAAAATCAACTATCAAAATAAATTTTTCTCAGCCCAAATACGAGCCCCCTCTCCTGGCGACCAAGCACGACCCCCTGTTGGGGATTCCCTGACAATGATGTGCCCTGCCCCAAAACGCTGCCGTCGAGCGGGAACAAATAGTGTACGTGAAACGGGAAGAACTAGAAAAGTCAGCAAAAAAATCTTCATGCTCAAAAGCAGATATAACCCCACTAGCTGGGAATACCACCTTAATACCTGTTCTGAAGGTCTTACTGGTGCAGTATGTTCATATTAAAAAGGAAGGCAATAGGTCTGAAATAGGAGAGATGTCGGTGTGACCAAGCAAAGCAGCCAAAAAGGCAAGACTTGGTTTTGTTTTGCGAAATCTAAGACGGATGTAGGGTCGGGTTTCATGTCAGCGAATGTTAGCAGATCCTGCCGTATGCGATGGTTTTTGCTTGGCGCGAGACTGGAAAACATCGAAGCATTCAGCAGACAGCCGATGTACCCATAACGTAATTGCTGAAGCGAAAGCACTCTCCGAATTTCATTGCCTACATCTAATGGAACTTCTAAAAAAACTCTGAGGTAAAAGGTCTTTGAGTAAAGCCGTTACATGAAGCAAGCTGTACAGCCTTGATATCCAGTGAAGACGGTAGTCCTGTTAAATCATCGAGTAGCGAGAATGTAACCTTTGAAAATAATTGATGGGTACGGAAGAAGAGAGAACAGAGCCGAGATCTTCAAAATGATTTCTCGCAGTTTGCTGTTTAAGGCTTTAGGTCACTCTTCCATAGCAGTCCCAGAATCCGCTCACAAGTGACATAAAAAGGATGGAAAAGAACAAGCATGCGTTGTTTCCAGCATCTTTCTAGGACGCGCCACGCCTTCTTTTTCCATTGAGGTGGAAAGGGCACCTAGCAGGGAGTACGGCTAATAAATAAGATGATGTTTGTGGTCACCTGCTGCATAAGCACATGTTCTTATCTTTCCGCACAAGTCTAGCACCGTCTCACCGCCCCGTGGGAAAAGAACCGCTTGGCCCCGGCGGGCAGATCTGCTAGCTGATCTCCGGACTGTGCGCAGGGTGCGACGGCCATTTGCCACTACACCACCTAGCCTTCTGATCAACAGACTTCTGGAAATAACGCAGTTGCTTCGTCTGATGCAAATCCATAATAGCTGTCGGGGATCCCCACATCATATACAGTCGATGTAGGGGAGCAGGGACGCATTTGGGCCCCGAGAAACTTTTTTCTGACCGATAATGTTTCACTTTCCACGCGTACAACATACTCCCTCCCTCCTTCAAGGAACTACTATTTCGGTCCACTGTCCAAAGAGGGGCAAACAAATGCTTGCAACCTACTGGGTCATTAAATGTAATAGACATCAGAAACTTACCAGTACCGCTTACCGCTATTTCATTCCATTTACAACTATGAAGACAATAGCTTTCCATTTTATCGCTTGACATAATAACCTATGTATGGGAAAACACTATGAAGAAGAATCGAAGGATGTCTGTCATCTTTGGTCACCCGTCAAATATTTTTCCTGATTTTTACTAATGAAAAAATCGTTACTTCCGGCCGTGAGAGTTCCTGGAGAATCAGAGGAAAACAATGGAACAAAATAAGTCGTTTGTATTAGTACCTGTACCAGGAGGATACGGTACACGCTGTATCATTACTCTTTGTGTGGGTGCCGTTCCCATCATTTGCGGTTGACGTACAAAATGTGCCTGCTGCATCTAAAATCATGCAGTCAACTTCACGTCTACAAGGCCAAGTTCTACCAAACCAAAAAACAATGTGGAAACCAAATGGAACGTTCTATTAACTACAATTTTATATGAAAAAATAATAATAAAGAATGAAGCAATGAGACCGCGCCCAATCTCACTTGCAATCGTCAATCGCAGTCTTGTTTGCTGCGGATACTAATGGCAGGGGAAGGGGGGGGGCGAACCATGAATTTGGCGCGCGTCCACCAAGTGGACAAGCGACAACTACTTGGCGGAAAACGGGATGGAATGGCGCCAAACAAAACCTTCTTAGGCGCTCCAGTAGCAGCGAAGAAGACTGTGAGTATTAAGGTATACTGTACATTCAGCCACAAGGATAACCATTTCCATGGGCGTGGGACCGCATCTGTAAAAAGGTACCACCTCTGCGACATGGAACTGTGGGGCGGTGGAACAGGAGGGCTGTGACGGCTGGATAATTTTTTATCTCTCACCTGGGAGACCAAGGTCCCGCAACGAATGTGTTGGCGATGTGCCACAATACACTGCACATCGCCAAGTCGAGCGATAGAGAACAATAACGCTGGAGCTTAACGTAAGAGATAGCAGATAAATAGCGCGTCTACTATGGCTAGGCGTATGACTTGCCGTGTAACACATCTGTGGCGTTTTTTGCGCATATGTGGCGTGTTCTGCTTGCAGACAGACACAATAGACAAAAGAAGATCCTGCTGTCATAGCTCTTCAGCTTCGTGCTCCAACTTCCAAATGACTACAGCTGCACTCTTCTACTTCTGCAGGCTTGCTCACTTCGCACATGGAGAACATCAACCTCGCAGTTAAGCAAACAGTATGTCGTTCAATAAACACCTAGCTGCTTGCAGGATGGGAATAGATGCTCTTTGGACAAGAAAGATTACGAACGCAAAAATTAACCTTATTTTCAGTAAATTGAAAGCCGACCTGCTGCTGTTGCTGGGTCCACTGTGCTTGCGGATTCTGTTGCTGATAATATTGTGGAGGGTTACCACCCATTATGCCCATCTGTTGCTGTACCATCATCTATAACGAAAACAACTGATCAAATGAAAAAAGGCTCAAAGGTGCCCAGATAAAAAAAATCTGTCGAAAGCGCCCTAAATAAGAACCCTGTTGAATCTGAGCAGTTCACAAGCACAAAGTTGTCAAACAGAGAAAAAAATGAAGTATTCTCCATTCCTGTTCATGAATCTCTGTGAGGAACGGGGCTCCGTTTATACTTTGAGATGACGCGGCACATGTGGATTCCCGTCTATTGCCGTTCCCTTTTATAGAACTGAAGCGCTGTTGCAGCGATAGCACGATGACGCGCCATCGCAAAGTCCGAACGCAGCCTAATAGTCGAATCGCCGGCGGATTACTTGGACAGCACTCACCTGTTGACCCATTATTTGTTGGCCCATCATTTGTTGCTGCTGTTGTTGCTGTTGCACCTGCTGTTGCTGTTGGTTGATGATTTGTTGCTGTTGTTGCTGCTGTTGTTGCCCCATCATTTGTTGCTGTTGTCTGGCATACATTCCGGGGGAGCCATCGCCTTGCCCACCGGCACCTCCGACCATCATTTGTTGCTGTATGTGTATAGCGCCTATAATTACAAAGAAGTTCATCAAAATA